GACAAGCAACCTCAATGGTTGAAATAGCTCCGCTGTTTTTTGTAGTGTCTCCCTCAAAGCAAAGTTTGATATGTTCTGTACGATGAGATAACTATTTGGTTATTAGTGTTCCCAGTGATTTTTTAAAAACAGGGGCGCAGCCCTCATGCCATGGCCATGCATCCCCCTCACCCTGGGGAGCAGATGCAGATACTCTGGTAACCATAACATTCTGATTGACCAGGGGATCACATGTGGCCACAGTCTAACTTATAATTATCAAAAACTCCACACACTGGTAGGGAGAACCCTGGGGTGTGGGTGGGTGGGGGGTCAATCCTTTTTGGAAATCAGTAATTACACAGAATTCTGTGCATAGCTATTCACCAAACCATTCTTGAGTACTATACTTGGAATGACTATATTCCAGGCTAGTGGTGTTGAGATACCATTAATTCATCAAAATTGACAATCAAATGTGTACAAGTGTGGAAATGCCCCTAAATGCATTAATAGCCTTTGTTTGAATCCTGTTGGACCCTAACAAAGTATTTGGGACAACTCATAAAAAGTCAAGAAACTTGCTCTTACTTGTGTCTGTTCATCAGTACCAGTGACGATATTACCAATTGTTCGTAGTGATGGTGTTATAATGGCCACTTCAGAGCATCCCAATAGTTCACCAAGTCTGGCTAAATTAATACTGTTCACAACAAGCTGAGAAAGATTGTACAAAATTGTTGTTTAAGATTTCGATCAACTCAAAATACATGTAGTACCAATTTTGGATTGCTATACAGTCTTGGTCCAGTGTTCTCACTAGACATTTACCTCGTGGTTTAATTTTTTGTTCCAAGTTTTTTATTCTCATTAGACAAATTGTCCAAAATGTAAGAAAATACAATACAGGTGACAATTCATATAGAATAAAATGAAAAAAACAAACATTTGAGTACATTAAGTGGAACAAAATACTTCATATGTTTCTAGTTCCACATGGTTGGGCAATTCTCTTGTACTTTCTAAACAGAAGGAACAATTCCTACTAACATTAATTCTTACTGAAAACTCATTCTGATTTATTGTCTTGGCCATGCTATCATATCAGCAACTCAATCTACCTTGCCACTTACAGGGATTGAAATAGAACTTTTTCCCTGCATGCGCAGTGTGCATGTTGAATTTGAAATTTACCTGCACTAACTTGTGAAATACACCACTTTTAAAGTTTAATAAAACTAAGAAAGAATTTGCTTTTTTTTGAGTTGTACAATGTTGGTTGAACTTAATTTAGGCTTAGTGAATATAATGAGAAAATGTTGTGTTAATTTCTACATGCACAGCGTGCACATTATATTTTGAGTTTACTTGCACTAGCTAATAATCTATGTGCATAGTGCAGTGTGCACCAGAGTATTTCGACCCCTGCACTTTGCACTCTAGACACAGTGGAAAAAAATTTACACTAGCATTTTGGGCCATTATTACCAAGATGAGGAAATGAATTTATAAGGCAGGCAGAGGATTATGTCAACACATCTGCCTTTTCTGGACAGTTTGCTTATGATTTGTTTTGTCATATTAAAGTAAAAAGTTTTGTTTAGAACGGTTGGAGTGTTGCATTGATTTCTAAATAGTCTAATCGATATAATAGGAAATTGTGGTGCAGCTACTAACAATTGTTCGTAAATCAAATCCATCAATTTCAATCGAAGGTCTTGATTTGCATCTATACAAGGCAGAATTTGGTACATTAAAAAAACCTGTTAAATAAGCTGCTGTCTGATTGGTCTAACCATTAAGTGTTGGGTAGCCAATCAGGTACAATCTTGCAAGTAGCTTCACACATTGACTAATTTGCACAAGTAATAAATACTTACCTGTATTCTATCATTTGTTCCATCTGTTAAATAAGACAGAGCCCAGCAGGCATCAGCAAGGACCTCCTTGTCACTGTGGTATATCAATTGAGCCAGTGCTGGCAAAACTTGCTTCACAGTGTCTTCTGGTGGAGGGGGACTTTTGTTACGACACAAGTTGGAAAGTGTCCAGGTAACGTTGCGCAGGAATGCAGCAGATTTATTTGGTGTAATATTTGCTAATAAAGGTTGTACAATGCCGGTACGGATGACATAATCACGGTAGTCTGTACCATCACCTGTAAGAGCAATACAACATGCATTTGTCTCATTATCAATACTTTTTGTAATTTACTACCCTCATCTTTATGGCAAAACTACAGCGTTACTGTGCATGGAATCAACCACAGTTGATGTAACATTTAGGTATCCCCAGCATTCATGAAGTGATTGGAAAGTCAGGAGAGAAAGTAACTGTTGCGAAACACATGTGGCACATCCCCAAAGCATTCCTATAGTCACAAAAACAAACTCCCACACTTGTGTAATGTGGATCAATAAAATAAGACTTTCACTTTGTTATATATTCAAGTGCTATACATTACTATATAGTCATACAAACCTGCAATGTTTCCTAGAGCCCACACAGCTTGCTCACACACATTGGGATGTTCACTACTAAGCAGTTTGACAAATGCTGGTACAGCATTATGATCTACCACGGTCTTGGTTTGTTCCGATGTTCCAGAAGCAATGTTTGTTAGAGCCCAGGCAGCTTCAAACTGCATAGCAGGGCTGAAAAGAATAAGTATTGCATCAAACTTAATTTTCTTTCTTCCCTCCCAGCACTAAACATCTAAGAGGCATAAAGGGCCTTGATGCAAACACTCCAGGAAAAATTTACCTTGACTTAATTTAAATGCAATAATTATATTTGATGAATTACTCTATAGACCAACACTATAAACTATACAAGTAATGACTTACCAGTCATTGCGGCCAAGAAATTCCACAAACTTTGGTACTAAACCGGAATTGATTATAGCATTGAGAGGTGGGCTTTTCTCTCGTGATAGCATTTTCCTGTGAAAATAAAGAAACTTGTTAATCATATTCAGGATCAAAGGTGACTGTACACTAATACTAATACCTTATTTGCTCATTAGAAGCACATGTAAACCAACAGTGATTGAAATACCAGTTTTGACTTCGACACACCTTTCACCTAAGCACATGCACCACCAAGAGCAAATACAGTAACTGAAATTACAACTTGAAATCTAGTAAGATGCAAGAAAGTAAGAAAGGGTGAATGTGAAATGAGCACTTTAGAATGAGAAAACAAAACTCATTTTGTACACGTTTCAACAACAAAGGAATGCTGTTCTTGAAACGAAATATTAAAATCTACCACTAGTTCATTCTCACCTAGCAGCTTGAGTGGCCTGCAGTTGTTTTTGGACATCAGTGCTCATTACAGCATTTTTAATTTCATCAATTGACATAGGAATGGCTGGCTGTTTCTGCTCTTGTAGAGGGCTAGGAGGTTCGTCACAGTCAATATTTCTTCTCTTAAGTAACTGATCATCTTTTTTGGCTTTGCGCAATTCAACCGATACATCTGTTCGCCGTCTCCTCATTTCCTAAAAATTATTCGAAAAAAGTGGTAATGACGGCAGATCAATAACAAGACAGGAAGGCCAAAACATTACATTAAAGGCATTCAAAATGCACTGGAAGTATACGTTATTTGTCTGTTAATAGTGCCCATTACTGTAAAAAGCAGGCACCCAGTCATCACACCAAAATTCCATTTATTGTATTCGTGACTATTTGACTTTAGACATGCAATTTATAAAAGTGCATGTACATTTTGTACTACTGATCAAACGAATATAGTAATATCGCCAGTGATGTGGATATTTTGACTTTTCACATTGGTTAAAACCCAAGTCTGGGTGCTCCAAATATAATCTGGGAAAAGTTTGTTTAACTGCAGAAATGACATTAAATTTTCTGAATATATTTCTTCAACATAACTAAGTGCTCACCAGTTACTACATTGAAATAAATAAATGAAAATAAAATCAAACAATACAAAACTTGTCTAACGATCATAGCTAATTTGCATAGAAATAAATAATGATGACTACATTTGCATAAAATGTTTTTAATTTCTCAAAAGTAGGCAAGTAGGTTACAGGAAACAAATTATATTTTTAGAAACTATGGAGGTGGTAGAAAAACTTATTTTTTTTTTAAAAGACGATATCACTAATTTGATTTGAAATCAAATATTCAATTCATAGATTTTCTCTCAATTTACTGTTGTCTTTACCATTTTCCCTCCCAAGTTTCTAATATTACTCTTATGGTCAACCGAAATTCAAATCCTAAAAACGTATTTACGTTAATAACTGGTATCAAGTGACTCCTCCCTAAATCATCACGCCCAAACGAGGACTGCTTTCAGAAGGGGAGAAAAAAGAAAAGAAAAAAGGAGTACTCACCGAGGTATCACGACCTTTGTTCTTGAATGATTTCAAACGGTTTTCTTGAGCAGATGAAGGCATTTTGAGAGTTGGCCTTTGTATAATTCGAGCAATATATAATTGTAGAAATACTGTTTACAAAAGCTGATCTAAGTTGACTTGATGTAGAACGAACAATGGAGTTGAGCTGTAAGACAAAGTAGCAACAATGAATGAATGAAATTAATTAACTAATCGGTAATGGTAACTGTTCACCGTTCACAGTTAATTCAGACAATACAATTTTTAGGCTCTTGACAGCAACAGTAAAGACGTGAATTATTCATACGTGCCGTTATATAATAGTTTTTCTAAACACAAAAATAGAAATAGTGATGTTCCATGCGTTCAAACTGCCATCAACTGTAACAGCTACGGTATTAGTTTCCGGAGTTCTTAACCAAATAAAAAGTTTTAAAATATGTTTAACGTTGTATAAACAGACATAAAGAGGGAAATTCCACGTCAGAAATGAAATTGATCAGTTATTGTGAAAATTTCAAGCGTCAAAAACTATCAATCCGAGTCGGAACACGTTGATAAAAAAACAAAACGCAACTGTAAAACCCATTGGTTTTTAGCTAGCCAACTTAAATGTGACGCATAGAACAACCTCGATATTTAACCACATATGTACACGGAGACTTTTATCAACTTAAAAAGCAAGGCCAAATATTCAAAAACTGGAAATTTGCGAGAACGTTTGCCTACCTGCAACGACGTGGAAAGCCAAACTACGACTGAGATTTTGAATCTGGCGCAGTTTAAAGCCCGCAAATACTACGTTCTGATTGGCTTATTTTTCTAAATAGCAACCGCGAAGGACGACTGTTTCATGGCCCCCAGTCACTCAACAGATATTTAGATCACATACTGTAACAATCATTTGTCAAATTATGATTGTAGGCTGTACAAATATTTATCGAAGTATTTAATATAATTCTGACGGATCCTAATAAGTGTGGTTATTCATGAACCAGTTTTTGTTGGCATACGGGTATCCACAAAACACATGAAAATCACAGATGACCTTTGTTTCTCGTATTTTCTCGCAAACTTTGCGAGATTAAAGATGGCAGCCTTATAAAAGAAAACGATGTGAATAGTCGTGTTTTGTTCTTTCTCCCCGAGTTCATCAAAATTCCTATTACCCATCGAATGTGAAAACGAGCACCAAATAACTATTATCCACTGTGTATTGAAAAATGATTGTTGCAACCTATTTTCCAGTCTGTTCATACGGTTATGTCGCTATAATGTGACCGATAGCATCGTCGTCTGCTGTAATTTACTCTTTACTCTTGTTGCATCTTGATCCGTACGTCAGCGTATCCAAACCAGAAATAATCATGGACTCAAACTTCATGGATGCCGCAAAAGAAGAAAAAGCTCGAAAAGAAAAACTTCAGTGTAGACACTATTTTATGTTAAATGAACTGCAAAACATGTCAAGAGACTTGAAAGGGTATGTTTCCATTTTTCGAAATGCTCCATTCAATGCTACCCTGGGACACCCGCCTGTGGGGACACCGTCCGTCTACTGTACCTGGGACAAGCGTGAGGCTTGCCTCAAATTCAAAATCCTACCTCAGATTAAGAACCCGGCCTCTGAAGATACCTGTGAAATGTTGCAATAATTCACAAAATCAATTATATTTAAAAAAAAAAAATTGTGGAAATAATTTAATATTCAGTACGTTTAATATAAAATTTTGGTAATCACAAAACCTGCAACCTAATTTTAAACAGATTCAAGTTGGCCGAGGAGTGTGATGTTTATTGTACACTATAACTCCCAAATACTGTTGTGTTCAAGACTAAAACTGATTTTAGATTACCTTGAGAAAACAGCCCCCCCCCCCCTCCCCAAGATATTTAAAGTGCTACAGTCGTTGTGCCATATCCGGTATGGTACCTTGTTTGTTTACGTGATATCCAAACACTTGCTGGTGACGACTATAATTTATTTGCATTGTACATTTTTAATTGTGTGAAAAATATCATAATTGATGCTGAGACTGGATTTTTGGCTGGGTTCTTACATTTGGTAAATGCCCAACCACCCTGGGGCATGTACACTAGGCAAATTCGCACTAAAAACAATCAAATTTATATAGTTCTAGTGGTTTGAATTTCAGCAGCGGAAGTGACAAGGGGATACGTAATTTAAAGCCCCAAAACATGTACTCCTAATGTTTATTGATTGCGATACCCCTAAATTACTTATTTTGTCT